CGAGTTCTTTCTTGGCCTTCTTACAGCCCAGACTTGAACCCTATCGAAAATGTATGGGCTGTATTAAAGGGAAAAGTAGAGAAAAAGGTCAAATATTTAGTGGCAAAAAAAAATATTACCTGCGATGTATTCCTTAATACAATTTGGCAGGAATAGGATGATCTTGATAATGCCATATTACTTCGATGCATTGAGAGCATGCCAAACCAGATTAAAGCATGTATCGATGTAGAAGGAGGACACACCAAATATTAATAAAATAATAAAAAAGTAGCCGTTAGTGATTGTCTTGTAAATAAATAAAAAAAATTACAATAAAAATAAAGTTAGTACATACCATAAAAATTCATTTCCACCATTCTTTTTGCCAGGGACTGTATTTGTAATACGTTCATTTGTTTCTAAAACTTCTTGCATAATACGACTAATATAGGTGTCACTAGGTTATCTACATTCTTAACCTTACTCCAAAGATTTTCACAAGCCCATTCACATTCTTTGACGTTTTCCATTCTAAAACTTCAAATAATATTACCTTATAGCCTGGATAAGTTCTTATGAATGCCTTTCCAAAATATTCATTATGGCATTTTAATATTTTGGTCATAGCTTGCACGTTTAACATGAAATTCATAATGCGCCTATATATTTATTTCAATAATAAAAATTGTCAGCATTACAGTTTTTGATGTATATTATTATCAAATGTAATTGATAATTTACCAATGATTGTAGCACCGCAGACCAATATTTAAGCCATCTATCCTTATTACTTTCAATTTTTTTAATTTCATTTGGATGCTCATCACTTAGAGCTGTATAAATAGTATCTTTCATAGTATTATTTGTGGGGTTTTTGTCAGCTAGGAAAAGGTCATTACATGACTTAATCAATATAGTCTAAATTAGATTGTGATCATTAGATAAAAAATTTAAAAATACTATTAATGTAACGAATATGACATTTACAGTGTACCAGGATAATTTCTTTTTAGCAGACCCTTTAACAACTTCGTTATTGCAGTCAATATCATTTTTTTCTCCAAACGATTTATATTCCTTTATAAACTTGTTGATAGCATTTTCAGTGTGAGCTGCAGCTTTATTGGCAGAAATTACTTTCTTATATACGACCTTAGCGTATTGCATTATTTTATATAACATTTCTTCAAGCCAAGACACTATATAAAAATCAATTAATTAAATCTATAGTTACTAGCATAAACATTAAAACATCAATATTTACTTTTTGTTACATTACTAATATTTGGACCAACACTATTCTTTCTCTTTGTACGTTCTTGCTCTTTGTCATTCATGGTAAAATCGCCCTAAAACATTATTGTGTAATGAAATATATATATATTATAATTATTACAATCATTATCATCGATATATTACCTTAAATTGGCGAGTACTCAAAGTTAAAATCGTAAATGATTTGCTAGATGACTCGTGATTTTTATTGTTATCAGTGTTTGAGTAATCGCATGTGGGAATTTCTACCACTACCATTGAAGTCTCTTTACGTACTATATTAACTTTTTCACTTATATCCTTATTTTTTTTGATTGTTTTTGCACCTACAACAAATAATAAATCAGCGAAATTTATTTGTTTAGTACGAAATAACAATATCATCTTTACTATTATTTACTTGAATATTGCGATTTGATGGTTTGAAGCAAGGTATAGCAGATCGAGATTGTTTAATAGGTGCAAAAGCAGCCAAAAGATCATTGTTTGGAGTCTCATCATTAGATGATGCAATTTTCTTGCTCTTGCTACGAGTTGATGATGCTATATTCTGAGAGGTGTTCTTCTTTCTTATTATTTTTTAAATATGACTTCAATTATTTACCAAAGTCTTAGAAACTACACTAGTCGAAATCATTTCTTTCAGCACTAATACCTTTCAGTAAACATTCAGCTGATTCAGTCATGTGATTTGGCAAAAATTTGGCGTAAGTTACAAAAATCAACAGTAATTTATTACATCACACATAATTTAGAATTATTTTAGTACTAATACCTTTTGGTAAACATTCAGCTGATTCAATCATATAATTCAGAAAAAATTTGGCTTAAGTTACAAAAATCAATAGTAATTTGTTACATAAAACATAATTTAGCATTATTTCAGCATTAAGACCTTTCGGTTATAATATTCAGCAAAATTTCAGTTAGACTCAAGATTTGGCAACAAATCAATTATATCTCACTGGTTGAAATCTGTTGAGCTGATTTTTGCGAAAATTATAAAACATTCCAAGAGTAATTGTCCTATAGAGATGATACATTCGTTTCAAAAGAGACAATAGAAATTGTCTCAAAATGAACAAAATATCGTTTCCAAAGAGATGATAGAAATTATCTCAAAAGGAATGATACATCTGTCCTCAAAAGAGACGATAGAAATCGTCTCAAAAGAAATGAACAATCATCCTTAAAAAGATGATACATTTGTCCTTAAAAGAGACGATAGAAATCATCTCAAAAGGAATGAAATATCATTTCCAAAGAGACGATAGAAATTGTCTCAAAAGGAATGAACAATCATTCCCAAAGAGATGATTTTTATCGTCTCAAAGGAATGAACAATCATCTCTAAAGAGACGATAGAAATTGTTTCTAAAGGAACAATACATCATCGTTTTGAAAAGAATAATGTTTTTTTATCGTTCTTTCAGAACAATACTTCATCGTTCCAAAAGAACAATGTTTTTTTATCATTCTTTTAGAATAATACATCATCATTTTATTAGAATGATACATCATAACGATACATCATTATTCCGAAAGAATGATATTTTACATCATTCTATTGAAACAATACTTCATCATTCCTTTAGAATGATGATTTTTTATCATTCTTTCAGAACGATGGTTTTTTTTATTGTTCTTTCAGAATAATACATCATCATTTTATTGAAATGATTCATCATCGTTTCAAAAGAATGATTTTCTATATTATTCTTAAGGAACGATCAAACTATAGTTCCTTTCGAACGATTTTCTATATTGTTCTTAAGAAACAATCAAACTATTGTTCCTTTTGAACGATTTTCTATATCATTCTTAAGGAATGATCAAACTATCATTTCTTTCGAACGATTTTCTATATCGTTCTTAAAGAACGATCAAACTATTATTTCTTTCGAATGATTTTGTCATCATTTGGTTGATTTTGCAATCGAATGATGCAAAATCATCCATTTGTAGCATTTATGATAAATAGTCTAAATTTTAGATTAACTGAAATTTTAGTTTAGTTTACAGTATAAAACTGATAAACTTTCGGAATATTCCGAAAAAATTTATTTCTTCCTTTTTTTTTTGAGGCGATTTTTGGGCGGAAATTTAGCCTTTTCCTTTGTTTTTTAGGAAATTCTTATTTTGGAATTAAGATAAGCGAATCAGAAGTGACCTTTGTGGCATTTTCCTTTCTTTATTCTTGTTTTTAGGAAATTCTTATTTTGGAAATTAAGGTAAGCAAATCGGAAGTAACTTTTAGATGGTTTTAACTCTTTTTTCTTTATTTTTTTCTGTATTTTTTAGGAAATTTCTCTTTTCAAAACTAAGGTAAGTCTTTCAGAGACGACTTATGGATGATTTTTAACCCTTTTTTTCTTTATTTTTTTCTTTACTTTCTTTAAGAATACATTAAAGTAAACCTTTCGGAAGTGGTTTTTAGTAGGTTTTCTAACTGTTTTCTTTATTTTTTTTTACTTTTTTTTAGAAATACATTAAGATAAACCTTTCGGAGGTGATATTTAGTAGTTTTCTAACTGTTTTCTTTATTTTTTCTTTACTTTTTTTTAGGAATACATTAAGGTAAACCTTTTTAAGGTGATATTTTCGTGGTTTTCTAACTGTTTTCTTTATTCTTTCTTTACTTCTTTTAGGAATACATTAAGGTAAACCTTTCAGAGGTGGTTTTTAGTAGGTTTTTTAACTGTTTTCTTTATTTTTCTTTACTTTTTTTTTAGGAATACATTAAGGTAAGTCTTTCGTAAGTGATACAGTGATAAACGTAACCAGAATTGCACATCAATATAAGCTTATATCTCATCAACCACGAATGCTAGGAATATGATTTGCATTTATTTTAAACCTCAAACCCTAGAGAATATTCAGTAAAAATTTGAAGTGCGATTATTAAGACCATGTTTGCACAATTTAGTGATCTACATCACAATTTCTTACTTAATGAAATTTAAGTATAGAAAAATTTTTTCAGTAAGCCGGCTACTCAAAAACCAATACTGGATTCCAATTTTCCTCAGTGCAGCGATTCTAACAAGCTAAAATTCGTCAAAATCGAATCAGTAGATCAACGAGAAATCGATCTACAAAGATCATTTCGTGCTATATATAAATATATTTTTTTTTTATGATGTGGCACTGCCAATAACTTTATTAAATTTATACAAATTACAAAAAAGTAAATCTTAAAAATCTATATATAAGTACTAGCTATCCTGCGTGATTATATTATAAACCCGTTTAAATCGACCTATCATCGTCTTTCCCTTCCAACAGACCCACTAAATACATACAGTATCTAATAACTACTGTTATCATAAAGAAAAGAAAAAGAGAAAGTCAGTGCCTATCTAAATAATCCGAAAATTTATTACCATACTTGATTGAAAGCTGTATCCAAGTTTCCCACATGTTAGGAGCATGTTGGTTATTAAAGTAACCCAAAGATTTACTGACACCTCGTAAATGCTTGTCTTTTGAAGATATACCCAAATGTTTTTCTTTGGCAATCATAAGATTGCAACAAGGTTTTCAGACGTCTTATACATTTTTTGAAAAAAGAACAAAAAAAGTTGTGTAATGATCTTGATGGCTTTATTTCTGCTTCGTGTGGCTTTATGAATGACATATGCAAGAGAGGTTGGAATTAAAGCTTTCATAATATGAATGAAATCAGTATCCGAAGAAATACTGAATGTGTGAGTGAAAACCAAATCAATTTCGATGATTAAAGAAGAATTGAGAGAATGCGCTTCAAGAAGTTCATCTAAAAAGTTTTTCGTTAGAAGAATAATTGTGTTGATTCTTAATTCGTAGGCTGGACATTGCCATAAATGTGAACTAGTTTCTGTACAGGCATTACAGCCGACACATTTCCAATCATTGTATAGGTCAGGGAGAAGTTGAGCTATTTTAGCTGTGACAGGAAGTTCATCGAATAAATTTTTGAAAATAAAAGTCTTTAATCTGGTGGAGACAAATGATATGACGAGTAACGAAGAATCCAATGAAAGAAATTTCCATGTAGCAATCCAATCTATAGATAAACTGAAAGTTTAGAGTCTAATTGATTTATTATGAGAAAGTATAAGAAAAGCGCCAAAATTATTGGCAGAGAAGAAATCCTTAAAAAACTTTTGTATAGATGATTCTATAGGAATATTATTGAATAGTGAAACAAGGTTTCTCAAGCCAATACCAATGATGTTAGGGGAGATCAGAGGTAAATGTCTGCCATTTTTGGCTAATATGTCAGCTTGATCATTTAGAATATCTCTAGTGTGCGATTTGACCTTAAATAAGTTAATATAGAGGTTAAGTGCATTATGTATATACTGGATAAGATTCCAAATAGTATAGTTGGAAATCTGTTTCATTTTCCTGTTAGAGAGTCTGGAATCAACTACATAAGATTGAAAACTATGGATGATGGCGAGACTGTCGGTATATATATTTAAAGTAGTCGATTGAGGAGCGACAAGTATGGCAGTGAGAAAAGCATAAATCTCAGCTCTAGTTGATGATAGCCAATTTGTTAAAAAAGCAGAAAAGTTATGGTGGTGAGCATTACTGTCTATACAAATCCAACCAAGACCCATTTTGCAGTTTTCTGAACGAGCATTGTCTAGTGAACCATCAGTATAGAAAATCAAGGAACTGGCATCAGTAATTGCAGATTGAATGAATTTGAGTTGAGTTAAGTACAAAGATTGTGGAAGAACCAAATTAATGATATTATCATGGAGCGAAAGTGATGCAGGTAGAGGAGGAGTAGAATTATTATAATATAAAGACGCAGTACAGAAAATTTCATCAGGGGAATCTCTGAGGCAATTTTTGACAGTGATTCTCTTCTTTTTTTTGAAATGAATTTTGAAGGTTCTGTTGGCGTTGATGGTAAAGGTACATGTTTTTTAGGGGTATCTGCAGGAAAGATTGCGCATTCTGAACAAGTATCTAAGTAATAGATATCCTCATTATTAGTGGCACAGATAAAATATTGACAAGTAAACCGTGCAGTATCTAAATGATTACTGATAATGATACCATAAATAACAGATTGGAGTAAGGGATCCTAGTAGGCCACTAACTTTCTAGAATAGGGATTATCGTTAAACGAAAATGGTAGGTTGAAATTTATGAGAGAATGATAAATAGGAAGGGGGTATCTAGTCTATATTCTAATTTAAATAATCTAGTATATTTGTTTTCAAGAACTATAGATTCCAAAAAATTGAAAAAAAAGAGTTCCCTATTGACTGAGTAGCATGATTGAAATCTCTTAGAAAGAGATCAGATTTTGAAATAAAATGACATCCATCAGTTGAGGTTAACTGTTCTAAATAAAAAAGATTATGAAGAGTTAACGTGTGCCGTACTTTAGAAAAATTGTTAAAGGGGATGATTTTACACAAAGGACGATTACCTCCCAATATACGATTGGTGAGATACGAAGATAAAGAAAAAGAAATTTTCGAAAGGTGGAATTGATAAGGCTTAAAGAAGCACCAATGTGATTTTTGTATGACTTTCGGTGAAAATTATAGGGCCAATATTCGAGTGGTGAAACATGAAGGGCACATTGTGATTGTAAGTTAAAGAGACTAATTGTAGAAATCCTTTTATAGA